TTAGCATGTGAGATGCTTAAGATCTTGTTCAAATATTAATGAAATACTGTGAATAACATTCTAAGATAAGTGATGGAGTACTTCATCATTTGTTTAAAAAGCACTTGTGTGTGCCTTGAATTATTGTGGTAGGGTAAAAAATGTTTTGTTAGCTGGTTAGTAGATGAGGAGTTGAGTTGCTCTTCGTGTTCACTTGAGTATAGTACAACCCGTTAGATTTAATGAGGTGTAAAAATCAGGGAGCAATGTGTATTCTATTCAGCTGGCTGCAATATGTAACTGCACTTAGCGGTTCTTAAGACAAATATGTTTAGCTTTCAGGACTTTCTGTAGTAGCTGTTGCCAGTTTTGCATGGAGGCAATCCAACAGAAAGACTCAGTTCTAAGTGTAAGGAGCTAATGTCTGATTTTACAGTGGTGGTTCTGTGTTTTCCACAATGCAGCACTTCATTGAATAACTCTTGAAAAACATCTTCCTTGACGGTTTAAAAGCTAAGACATAAAATACGCTAAACAAGTGTTACTTTCTGAGCTTTCTTATCTTACCTTGATAAATAGCACTAAGACCTTTGAGTACGGTTAAAATACTGTTGATAATCTCACTTACTAGAAATGTTTATGAAACAACTCTGATAGCAAAGTCACTAAGTAAAACTGAATGCAAGTTTTATAGGAATACTCTGCATTTTAATTTTATTGTATGCTTGCTTCAGGAAAATACGTATTTAATTTTTCAGTCTAATGGTGGGCGTTTTGTCCTGTGTTTGATCAATTTTATATATGGCGTGGTAGCTATTGTATTAAAACCAAAACATGTTAAAAAAAATCATGTATTGGAAGTGTTTGTTTTCTCCTGTTTGCAAGATACTGTACTATATAAGATGGCATTTAGAAGATAAGGATTAAGTCACTGTATACTATATGGCAATGAAACTTTTGGTGCTATTTGCGTTAAATAAGCACTGAAGAATTTAGAGTTTTCAGGAAGAGCAAGTGACAAGCTTCTGATGCATGTCAGCAGAGTACCCAAGACATTTGACGCATAACAAGGCAGCGCTGTAAGTTCTTTTTCCAGCCCACATTACTAAGCTGGTATGTGACAGGAGCCCCATTATTGCAGGCTAGCTCAGCGCATGATTTTGTGTGTGGCGCTTTTGTGCTGGGGAGCCAGGGTCTCAAACCTGGGTCCTGTTCGTGTTGGGAAACAGCAGCCTTTGTACAGAAAAATGTTTCCCCCAGAGGCGTGAGACATCGTGCTTCTCGGCCAGCAGACCCGGTGAAGGAAGCGCTGTGTTGGAATTGCCTGTATTCACATTTCATCTTGAAGCCTTCCACACAGACACGCAGCTTAGATCGCTCAAGATCTGATAGTTCTTCAGTGTCCTTCCTAAAATTCCTCTCAAGGATAGTGAGAATTGAACCTAGCTGAGGAAGAAAAACAAGAGGCATGCCCGCAAGGAGAGCTACACAGGTAGGCATGTGAGAGCAGGTGCTGAAGCAGTAAAGGTGCTGGTAGATTTTTGTGTGATGTCTGGAATAAATAAATCCAGTCAACATTGTGCTAACTGCTGTGGCTATAACAAGAATCTTATTTAACCCTTCAGCTATGATTCTGGTGTAATGGAGTTTTGTTTCTGTGACGAGACTGCAGCATAATGTTAGTGTGGGATTTAATGCTGCTTTTCCTTGGCTAGAGTAGTGATAATCATATTCAACTTTTTACATTTTAATCCCAGTATACTGAATCAAAGTCTGCATGCTCGAAAAGTTAGAGACTCGGTGGCTGACTGGCAGTAGTTCAGGAGAGGAAGACAGAGTAGAATTGTGGATAGTTATTTTGAGATTATTTTTTTCCATATTTAAATATACATCTAGGAAAAATATTGTGCCAACAGTTGGGGTATGCTCAGTCCCTCAGGGGCATGTCATTTCATAAAATGCCCTAACCAGATTATAGAAGTGTTAATGGCTCATAAAGTAACATTTTTCTTTAAAAAAATAATACGCACACATGCTCATTTGATTCATATTCAGTTGTGTTCATGCTGTTAATTAAAAGGCTGGGGAAGAGAAAAGGGAAACAAGACACATGATATGTACTGCTGATGAGCTGACTAAGTATAAAGTCACAGTAGCAGGAAAGTAATCAACTAGCTAGTTCCAGACATAGCTGATGTCAGGCAAAATGTATATTTTGCCCTCTGATGCCTAAGTCTGTGCTTGCTCTGTTACTCATGTGTTACTCATCATTAAATAATGTTATCTGTTACTTGGTTTCAATGATAAAACCAGTAAGGTAGAAGGCAGAATAGTTACCAGTCCTGTTTTCTTTTGGTTATCTTGGTGACTTGGTCTCTTCTGCTGTGTTTTTCAGCCTTACATTGCACACTGATAGTGTGTGGAAATGTTATGTAGCATTCTTAAGTTTCAGAAATGAGCAGGAACAGTTGGGCGAAGATCTGTGTTGTATTCCAGGTACTAAGATTACTAGGGAAAGCACGGTTTACATTTTGCACTACAAAAGTGGCAGTGAATGAGTAGTCTGAAGGAGAAAGCAGTTTCTGAGTTTAAAGAAATTGCCCTGTCATCAAAACTGAACTTAGCTGTTCCTGTTGAGACAAAATTAGCTACCAGCTGGAACGGTTTAAGTTTATGTTCTGTGTAAGTGCTTGCTGCTTTTGTTGATTTGTCTTTTCCAGTTATGTAAACGTCTTGTCTTTTGACGCCATTCAAAAATGGGAGGAGGTTCTGTCAGGTGCATCTCTAGAAATGTAGACTTTCTCCCAGGTCCAGCCCATTTAGTAGTGACCTTTGGTGGGTAAGCTTACTCAGTGTTGTAAGGTTACTTTTATTGCATGTTTGGTAAGGGTGGATTTTTATTCCTGCAGTGACCAGTGAAGAAAAACTAGGCTGGTGTTAGGCTGCTTGACTTGACACAAACGAATAGAATTCTTGTAGGTTTGAGAGAGTTTCCTGCCTCTGCCCTCAGAAGTTGCTTTGGTTAGAAGAAAAATCAGTAAGTTGAGTGTATTTTTTGTGAGTCCCAGTTCACTGGTTGTAGAAAGCTTGTGATGATTACAGTGTTATAAAAACCACTGTGGTTAACAAATTTTTTTTCAGTATTTCATCTGTATTTCTGAGTAAGGAAAGCTGGAAGTCCAGATAAGCAACTCAAGTTTGATTGTCTGTTTTACTGGTGTAAGATAAAAATATGTAGTACGAAAAAGGTCAATTAACTGATTGTTAATTGCAAGCTAAATGGCCTAATTTCTTCTGTTGGTAGCTGTATGAGCAAAGTAATTGCGGTTGTTTTGAGCAAGACTTTAAAAAATAGTAAGATAACACAGAAATAAGAAAATACGCTTTGATATGGGGAACGAAGAGTATAGTAAAACACAGATATTCTAGTAGTGGTTTATGGATGTTTTGACAACTATTTAGATGAAAGTATTAAAGCTTATATATGTTATATATATATTAAAGCTGTATATGGAGTTTTGAGAAATTAAAACTGTGTATTATGTACCTGTCAATGTACAGTCAACTCAAGAAAGACTATCTTCAGAAATATCACTTCTTTGATTTTTTTAGGACAACTTTGATTTGTGCAACCATTTTTCTTTTAGTAACTATTTCTTTTGCACTGCTAGAAGATCTCATTGGACAAATTGAATCTTCTCTGTCACAGAATAAAATGGTGTGTGGTCTTATTAGGTGTAAGCTGGAGTAAAGCATTGCATCTAATAATTATTATAAGAGCTACTTCTATCAATAGGTATAGTACCTCTTTAAAAAGAGAAGTGAGAAGGAAAGAGCTTTGGTTCTGGAAGAGCTATACCCATGAAAAAGATGTAAAACCGTGGTGAATATAGATTTGAGAACTTGTTTACAGTATACAGAAGCTGAATAATAGATTAAATAGATTGATTCCTTGCTTTCATTTTGAAAACCTTGAATGATGTATGTGACACTAGTGTATTGTACTGTCTTGTGTTTTCTGAGATTTAGTTGGCATGATTGAAGTGTTCTAGTTAATTAGACTGTTTTCTCGAGTACAAAAGAGCTGTGAAATTGTAGCTGATTCTTAGATGGTAGCTGTGCATACACCACCAAATATAAATGATTCATAAATGTGTTCTTTACTGCTGTGGGTCTTGAATATTGGATAAGCTTCTTAGAACTTTTCCATCACTTTTCATAGTTTTTTCATGTATTCCATGTAACGTTCTGTGGTTAATTTTTTTTCTGGTTGTTGTTCCGGTGGCTTGTCATCTTCATGTGACTAATGCTGCTGAGATGTCTTGCCTTCCTTTGAAAGCTGAATATTTTATAGGATTCACAGTATAATAAATGTCTTATTTACTAAGATCAAACAAAGATAGAAATATGATGGCTAAGATGCCTCAGATCAATATTATTGTAGATCTACTTGGGAGAGGTGGAGGGCCAGTGTCATGTCACTAAAGCTTCAGTGTATCTTTTAAAACAGTGTAATGTGTTATTTTAACTTTAATTCCTTTTTACTTAGTTGCTGGCTATACTTTCTCAGTTTATGAACTGCAAGCCATGGAACAGACTAATGATTAAGCTGGTATTTAAACAGAGTAATCTTTGTTTTCCGTTGCCTAATGTAATTAACAAACATGGATTTATCTATTTTTTTTACAAAAGACTGAAAATAGACTGGGTATGTCCAGGAAATATTTTGGGTTTTGGCAGCTTTAAATTTCTATTTAGGAACAAGTGAGATAATTTAGTTTTGCTTGAAGGAAGAAAAAAATACTTTAAAAGATTTTTTTACATTAACTAACTTTTTTTTATATTACCTAACAATCTGTCTTATTTTTAGCTGGCTCTTATATAAAAAGCCTTTGGCTCATTAAGTATGTAAAACCACGCGAAATACACTGGCGTTTCAGTGATCTTCGTTACACATTCAGGCCTTTTCTCTTTCTCCGATATATCAACAGGTCAATTTAATTGGCACCTAGAGAAGGACAATGGCGGGCAATAACCAGCTTTGCATTCGACGTTGGACTACCAAGAACGTGGCCAAGTGGCTGAAGGAAGAAGGCTTCTGCGAATATGTGGACGTTCTGTGCAATAGACACAGGCTAGACGGAATTACGCTGCTGACACTGACGGAGTATGATTTACGATCCCCTCCTTTGGAAATCAAAGTCCTAGGGGATATCAAAAGGCTGATGCTGTCCATCCGCAAACTACAGAAGCAACATATTGATGTCCTGGAAGAGCTGGGCTACAGCAGCGATGGTCATGTTGGCACAGTGTGCCCAAGTGTTGGTTCACTACAGGGGACAGATTGGTTTTGTAATGGTGAAGTACCTCGGGACTATGATGGACCAATGACTGACTTGAATGGCGATCAGTATCAATATGCAAATGGCAAAAACAAACACTCGGCACGGAGACTGGACCCAGAGTACTGGAAGACAATTTTAAGTTGTGTGTATGTCTTCATAGTGTTCGGCTTTACATCGTTCGTTATGGTTATAGTACACGAGCGAGTACCTGACATGCAAACATATCCACCTCTGCCAGACATATTTCTAGATAGGTAAGAAATTTTCTTTTAATGGTTAAGCATCTGCTGTCTTTCCTTTATTCTCAAAGTTTCATATGCTCTTGAGGATGCCTCTGCAAAACAGTTAAGTGTAGTAAACCTTTTTGCCGAGATTGGAATGTGCGTCAGTTAGACACATAGATTCAGTCTTCTCAGGGTAAAATAAACTGAGCTGTTGTTCTACACAGTTTATAATTAGTTCTACATCTTTAGCTAATCACAACACAGTAATTAATTTGTGCATCCTCTCATTCTAGTAAAAATGGTGATGGTCAGCTGGCATAAATAAGCACCTCTGTGCTTTTTCTGAAATCTGTGTGCTGCTATGAAGCTTAACATGTCAATATTGAATAACTTGATGAAGGAATATTTTGGTCAGCCTGTGAGCAAGGAAAGGGAAAGGGAATAGCATGGATACTCTATTTTTGCTGTCTCCCCACTGCCAGCTTGTTGAAGATGGTTTTGGGAAACCCTGAAGTAGACTGAATAGACCAGCATTTTTTAACCATAGAGCACTTGTAATTTACGTGTACCTGCTCATTTTTTAAAGAAAATACTTCAGGCAGAAATGAGACACAGCAGCAAAAGTAAAATTCTGGTTATTGACTACAGATATTATAGGGGATAAATGCTGCCTTTGAGGAAGTGTACTTGCACCATAGAGAACTTGCTGCCTAGAGAGTTTTAAAAGACAAGACAAACTGCTGACAGGTTCAGTCTTTGTGAGCTCCTTATTCCTGCCAGTAATTTCCATTTTCATTAATGGTTTTCATGAAGTCAGTGGGAGTCTAGTCTTTTGGGGAAGTGTGCAGAAACCCCCATAAATTTAGATATAACTCGTCACGGATGAACTACATCCAGCAGAGTGGAAGAAGGGAGAGGGAATGGGAGCTGTGGCATTGCTGGATTTTGTTCCCTACCATGGTATTCAGTGGGCAGCTGGGCAGCTGGAGGATGGGGGAGGTCAGAGAGCAGCAGCTCACAAAACAATGTGAAAGGATTACTACAAAGCTCTAGGGTTTGAGCAGCGCTTTGCTACCCCTTTGTATCAGGAGGAACACAAAACTGTGAGGACCAGCCTCGCTTGAAATCTGTTGACCTGTATTTTGGTGCAATTGCAGACTGGAAATGGTTGCTGTTGTCTTATGTGTGCGAGAAGGCCTTAAATCTTTTGATAAGCAAGGCTAAAAGGTTTCCACCTAGTGATTATCACTGAAATCTAACTTTGAAAATAGTTTTTATTTTTCCCAAATACTTTTCTGCGCAGTTCTGCTTTGTTAAAAGCGTTTAGGATTTTAGGCTTTGCAGCATTTCACTGATTGTGTTGACATGGCATTCTCTTAAGCATAAGCAACATAACTGACATGGTGCAAATTTGTCAGGATGAAAAAGGTGTTGGCAAACAATGGTAGAGGAACACATCCTGTTACTAAATCACACATGTAAATTAAGAAAGCATGCTGGAGATTTTTCTTTGACTTAGTGAATTCTGTGTAAATGTCTTCTGAAACTACATCATTAGAAACGAGATTTTGTAATTAAAAAACAATTCAAATTCATTTAGTTTAACAAAACAGTGGTTTAAACTAATGTCAGATTAATGCAGGTTAGTTTCTTAGTTAGAACTTCGCATGCCTTTATTCTTAACACTGAGGCTAGAAACTGAAATTAAGCCTTTGTATTGTAACTTTCTTGCTTCATCATTTTTTTAGCGTCCCTAGGATACCATGGGCTTTTGCTATGACTGAAGTATGTGGTGTGATTCTGTGCTACATTTGGCTGTTAGTTCTTCTGCTTCACAAACACAGGTGTGGTATATAAAATTCAAATGAACCGGTACTTCAGAGGAAGGACTAACCAGAATTTATGATGATTGTTTAAGACTTTCCGTTCAATAGGAATTTTGTAAGCTTCTAATATGGTCCTGGTAAAATGGATTACTCCTCATGCAAAGGAGTAATCTGAATTTAGTTTTCTATCAGATTTGTGTAATATGTGTACCAGAGAGTTGTCAGTATATACTCTTATATGGTAATAATTTTATATATAATAAAATCCTACGAGAAGTTTCACAGGATGACTGAGCCAGCCTAGCAGTGTGCTGTTGCTGAAGGACAGAAAACACTTGTGTGTGTGTGTGCGTATTGCAAGTTAAATTTTTACCCATTTGCCAACTGAAGGTACGAGTGCCAAAGCTAGAATGGCTGCAGAGGAGTGGAGCTGTACCTTTTGGTGACAGTGAGCTTGCTACATTGTCTCACCTTGTCATGTGGAACCATACCTTTACAGTACTACTTTTAACAAAAAAAAAAAATTTTTTTCCTGTGAAACATGTAACAATGATGAAGGGACTTCATGAGATTAAGTTGGGGTGATGGGAAATGTTTTTATCATAATTTTCCTGATGTAAAAATACAGTATATTAGGATTCTTGCAATCAGTTCCTGTGTACTTTCCCCAGGTCCATCCTTCTGCGAAGGCTGTGCAGCCTCATGGGGACAGTGTTCTTGCTACGTTGCGTTACAATGTTTGTTACCTCACTCTCTGTGCCAGGCCAGCACTTGCAGTGTACTGGAAAGGTAAAAACTTCAAATGCTTTATATTATTTTTCTTTTTTTTCTTTTTGAAATATTTTATTTAAGAGACCATTAAGATTGTTGTGACCCTAACGTTAGATGTGTGTTTATAAGAACAGTGTTGTTTCTCTCCTATTCCTCTCCATGCCCCGTCATTGATTGCCATTATGCAGGCAAGATTCTGTAGTGGTCTTAGAAGCACTTCTCACTTCGGAGAACAGGCAGCTACTGAGGGAAAGGTGTTCTGAAAATTTCACAGTGTGAACCCAAGAGAATATATCAGAGAAGCATGCAGTTAAAATACTAACTTCATGAAGAAAGGCTGAAAGTGGAGTAACTGCTTATTTGTTTTAGTGGATGCGTGGTTTTTAAAAAAAAATCAACCTATTATTATTTCACCCCTTCTAATAAGGGATATTCGACACAACATGGGATTTTATGGTTTTTTTCTAACTTGAGCTTGAATATATTGGAAGCTTGACAATAACACATTAGGAGGTTGAATATGTTCAAAAAAAGGTGGCACACTCTGCATGTAAATCATTTGCAACAAAATACTTGCTCGAAATTCCAGTATTCTTCAGAGGTATGATGAATGCAATTAGTAATTGTAGTTACTAATGTGACTCACTGCCACAATAAAATCCAAATATGTGCTAACCTGCATTTTAATGAAAGACTCACCCATATAAAGTGCTGTACATCTAACTTGAAGGACATAGTGATTGGGCAGTGGGGCTGGAACTTACCTGAGGTTAATGTCACTGTCTTTCAGTTGTACGGCAATGTTTGGGCAAAACTCCAGCGGGCATTTGCAATATGGAGTGGCTTTGGGATGACTTTGACTGGAGTACACACGTGTGGAGATTACATGTTCAGTGGCCACACTGTCGTCCTGACCATGCTCAACTTCTTTGTCACAGAGTGTAAGTACCGAGTGTCAATACTTAAATGCCCTGAAGTGTTAAGACTGTGTACTGCCTGCTCTCAGCCAAGGGTGCAAGAGTGCAAATACTTAAATGTCCTTAAGTGTTAAGGAGTATCTGCTGCTTAACCTCCTCAAGAAGTCCAGAGTGTACCATTTAAGTGAACAAATATAAATTCAGATCGCTGTGCTCTTTCTCAGGTTTGTGACAGTTCACTTGCAGACAGGAAAGGAACAGCACCATCTAGATTAATGCAAGGATGAGTAGGGCATGTTTGAAAGAACATGAGCCAAGAAAATTGAAAGGCTTTCTAGCCTGCTACTGGAAGGGAAGATACTTAGGGTTGTCTGTTCATATACAGACTGCAACTAACCCCTGTTAGGCAAAATACTCAACTAGGTGGCTGAATGTTTAGTATATTCCATAAAGCCAAAATACCAAACCTCATAATGAGTGAGAATATATGAAACAGTAGTGATTTTTCATAAATACAAAGTGTGATTTGATACGTTTTATAGTAAACTAGGATGATTAGTTTGAGTTCACCTATGACAGAATGACTGCAATAAGAGTAATGTATGTTCTAGGACATTTTCCCCTTGCTACGTGGAAAAGACATGATTTCCGTTAAAAAGATTGGTTGGACAAAGAATTCTGCTTTGCATGGTGCTAAATCATTTTAGGATGCTCTGTTAATCCAGAAATGCATAATAGCTGTATTTGTAAATGAAGTCATAAAGTGATAAACATTTATATCTTGTGTGGTTGCTTTCGTTGGAGTTATTTCACCTGTAAATGTAAACAGTGTTTACAGATGAAAACAGTAATTTATCACATAAGATGAAAAATCCACGTAGAAACTTGCAGTGTCTAGGCCTGCATTTTATAATGACACAGACTTTTGAGACATTCAAGACTTTGTTTTTACCTAGATACCCCAAGAAGCTGGAACTTCTTGCACACCTTGTCCTGGGTCCTGAATCTCTTTGGAATCTTCTTCATTTTGGCTGCACATGAACATTATTCTATAGACGTCTTCATTGCCTTTTACATCACTACAAGACTCTTTTTGTATTACCATACGCTGGCTAATACTAGAGCGTATCAACAGAGTAGGAGAGCAAGGATCTGGTTTCCTATGTTTTCTTTTTTTGAATGCAATGTTAATGGTACTGTTCCCAATGAGTATTGCTGGCCCTTTTCAAAACCTACAATACTGAAAAGATTGATTGGCTGAAGAGTGTGTGGGTCAAGTCAGATTTTTATGAAGCGTTATGACTAAGATCCTACAAGGCTTACAAGTGGGGGGGGATGCTAAGTAATGTTTTTTGCACCATGATCTCCTCCTTGTCTTGTTTCTTAGATTCTTAGCCAGAAAACAGGGTTCACGTACTTCACAGAGATGTGTTTTGTTTTATTGTTGATAAAATAGGAAACAATGGAGGGACTGGTAAAGGCTGTCAGTGAGCCATGAATTTAAACCAGAATGCTGTTACCCTTAGTAAGGTTCTGTGTGAATGTTAATGTAACTTTAACCTCAAATATGTGCTTGTACTAGATCTAATATACCCTTTACAGGTGCAAATAATCTCCGTTACCTGACATGACAGCCTTTACATACACTGACTAAAATATACGAACTTTAAAGAAAGACTTTCTTTTAAAAGTCATAAATGTAATTTTCAGAACAAACTCTGTGTATACTTAAAGATTGTGGAGTACTGTGTCATAATGAAGAAAGCAGTATAGTTTGTTGCTAAAAGGGTCTCTTAACTGTTAAATAACAAGTCTTAAAGTAAGTATAAATGGTCTGCATACAGGTTGCCAAAACTGAAAGTCTGCCTTGTGGCTGTGCCGTGATGATGTTTTTTTAATGAGAGCTTATTTAGTCTAGTCTATCAGTTGTCTGTATGGTTGTTCTAGCACTTGGAAGTTTTCCCTTTTGTGTTTAAATACATGAGTTAAAGTAAATGCTACATGCACTGAAAGTAAAGTTAATTTAGCTTTAGTGAGTTTAAGGCCACTAAATAACTTCTGTGTGGTTTTAATTGCTTTATACTGAAACCTCTGCATGCTTCTTAGGAGCAGCTTTTTGGCATTGGAGAAACAGAACTGTTATTTTCCTATATCTTACTGTCCCATAAATGGATGGGGAAAATGCATGTAGTAACTCTTTCAGGAAAAGAAATAATAGTGAGTATTGGAAATAGTGCTCATATCGATATATGTTTTAGCACTCTGATGTCAATAATATGGTGAATATCTCTGGATATATATACACAGTGTATTTGTTTATATACGTATAAACACAGAGAGTATATGTTCTTCTAACAAATATGAAGAGAGTCTAGTTCTTAATTTAAGTTGCTCATTTACTACACTTAGAGGTAAAAGTACCATAAGCAGTGGACTTCTATTTAAAAGAAGAAAAACAAGCCACAACAAAACACCCCCAAAGACCTCCGACCAACACTCCAAGTCCGCAATGCGTAAGCAAGGGTCACTCTGATACAGTGAAACACCCCCAAAGACCTCAGACCAACACTCCAAGTCCACAATGCGTAAGCAAGGGTCACTCTGATACAGTGGTTTGTAAGGGGACAGTATTAATGTTGGCTGTCGAGACTTGAAATTAGATTTATGCTAAATGAAAGCTGCTGGGTAAAAAGTGCAGATCATAAAAAATGTTACAGACCTTTGAATTTGGTTATTGCAATTTCAGGATAGGTGGTATGTACAAAAGGTAGCATAAGTCAGCTTTGGAAAATTACACGAAGCGTTTGCAGCTTTGTACGAGCTGACTTAATGGCCACAGTGGACTTAACATTTGTATGAAAAAGAATCCCTTCAGAATTTTGCAAGGCAATTTTTTATTTGGAGGCTTGTAACCTACTGTGGGCTTCTCCTTTTTTTTTTCATACTGCTTTTGTAGACCTGGATTGTGATACCTTGACTATCTTGTGCTTTTTGTAGTATATTACTTTTGTAACTTAATTTAGCTCCTATTCCACAGAGGAATTGTGCATCTTGGGATATCTGTGCCAACTGTATTGAGCACACACACGTCGTACTATTCTGCAGACTTTTATATTTGTAACATTCCAACTTTTTAGCAAAGTCGCAGGTTTAATACTATATTGTTCAATCTGCCATAGCCTGATGGCTCTTGCCATCCAAATTTTGGGAGTATGCTTACACTTAAAAAAGAAGAAAATATTCTGAAAGATTGAAAGACATTTCATTTGCAGTTCTTACCTTTCTGATTTCAGAAGGGCAGTTTGAACATTCCTCTTGAGACTTTATAATCAAAGAGCTCTATTTGTTAATTTATATATGCCTTAGCAATGCACACACAGCTATCGATGCTATTTTTGTAAACTCTAGGAAACATCTGCTCTCAGGATGTGCAGGCTTGTGTTCTGAGTTATCTGCAATTGAACTTGCAAAGCTGTTCATTCTGAAAAGAGCCACGTCAGTGCTAACTGGCATAGCTGTTGTCTAAACTGAAAAAATACTTTGCAACTTAGACATGCAGGAAAATTTTCAAGTACAGCCCCGTGCAACACTGTTTACATAAAGTAAATCTATCATTTCAATACTGTTTTTTTTAAATACAAAGTTCATAGACTTTGAAACGTAAAGCTTTTCTCTTTGTTCTAATCTAAGTTTTCAAATTCTGTTAAGTAAATCCATGTTTTAAATAAGCATTGCCTACCAATATTTTTTTTAAAGGAAGCCTGTTCTTTTGTGCTGTTTACCTTAACGCTGTATGTCTAAGTCTAAGATAAGTAGTATTCGGAGGTTGTTTTTGTAAGCATTGAAGTGGGTTAAAACATTGTCAGGGTAATTGTCCTCCTCTACTTTAGAAGTTCATTTTGTCTGCCTATAAACACACAGGAGGAAGACTTGAAATGGGTACAAGACAGAAAAATCCCATCTCGCATGCAAAAGAACACAGGTCGTTCTGCAAAGTCAGTAATGCAAGCTTTATTATTAATTAGATGGAAACAAGGTGTGAGTAACTGACAGGCTTAAAATTCTGTAGCTCCTTTGTTAAAGAGTCAGTGTTTTAAAGCATTTTGCTGCTTCTCTGCTGCTGACGAGCACTTTTAAGTGAAGGCAGCAGAGCACTGTTGGGCCTTGGATTTAATGCCGAGTGTGTCTGGGGTTGTCCTCCCATATGTTCGTGCACTGGTCCTTGTGCTGTCCTGCGACTTGCTGCGTCTGTTCTGTGCAAAGTCATCTTCTGTGGTCTGTGGGAGCGCACGCATCTGAATTCAGAGGAATTAATTAATTAGTCTGTTAACGTCAGTGAGTGCAAGTGTCCAACAATGTTGTCTAGTACCACAAAGTGCACAAACTAATCAAGTAAAATGTTAACCGAATAACTCTGTATATGCAAAAGAGGGGGTGGGTCATATTTTTTTTGTAGTTTAGCAAATATAGTAGTGTTTGAGACTTGACAATAGTCTTCAGCTCTTCCTTATCAGTTTGGGGACATGTATGCACGTACCTGCATAGATGAGACACGCAGGCACCCTCCTTCCCCCCTCTTGTTTTTTTAAGTTCTACCTTATGAAAAAGCTTCTTATAATAGTTTTCCTAAACTTTTTGCCTTTGGCTTTTTTTGTCTGGAAGATCCCTTAAACTGCGGGTTTTGTGACATTGCACCTGCTTACAGAAATTAGACTTTCATAGATGCAGTTTTTAGCAAATTCTGATTACACTGACAAAAGCTGATGGAAGGATCTTTAAGGTTCTTCCAACCGTTCTTGAATAATGAATTATACAGAAACCTTCCATATATGCTAATTATCTTCACGTCTTCTGGCAAACGATGTAACAGTTACACAAAGTGTCGGTGCAGGAATGTAGATGGGTTTGAAGCATGTAAATGTCCAGGACTAGCAAAAATTAGATTCTTTAAGCATACTGCTTGTGATTAAGCAAATGATGTGCTTAACTTTAAGCAAATCACTAAATACTCTTAACTCCAGTGAGTGCTACTGTTTTAGTTTAAGGGTTTTCCTGGATAAGGCCAAGTGCATTCTGTGCATGGTATGCTGCTACAGTAATGGGAATGGCTAATGTCACTTTCTTTTTGGTTTTCCCCAATTTCTTTTCCCCTCATTTATTATAGAATAAGAGATTCCAGTAGTATTTCAAAGAAATTGCTACTTAAGTGAGAGAATAAATTTGTAGAAAATGCATCAAAATAAAACCTTGATAATTAGATGCTTTAAGAAACAAGAGTCAGTTAAATTTGAAAAACAAAAAAGTTATCTTTTGATGCAACCATGTTAAGATTATTTAGAAGTATCAGAACTCTTCAATGAAGATTAAGACACAGGTTCCTTTAATCTTCTTTGTGTGGCTGTGTCTCATGTAGTGCCAAAAAGAGTATTGAAAGTAAAGAGAGATGGGTTGAACTCCAGACATCAGCATAAGTCTTTTGTAACAGCTAATATCTGCCTGGGTTTTTCAAGCAGTGCTGGCATACTTAGTGCTATACTTGTTCGTTACTACTTAGCTGTTGTTTTGATGTCCACTAGATTTTCAAGCACTAAAACTATCATGGAGCTGAATCATAACCATTAAATATGCATTTGAAGGAGCAGTCTTAAAAAAAAAAAAAAAGTAGGCTTTGTGGACCTGGAGTATAAGAAAAGTAACCTATAACAACTATGGTAGTTTTTCATCCTGTCCATGTAGTTTATACTGAAGATTTGGGGAGAATTTGTGGTAATCTACAGGCACCACTGATTTTTCTGGGTTTTTTGAATAGTCTAGGATGCTTTTATAGAAACTTGATCTGTAACTACAAAAAACATCCTAGTCTTTTCAAGATGAAAGTATATTTGGCAGAAGTCCCAGCAATGAACCAGCTTACCCTCTGAATTGTTTTGTCCATGTAGACTTTATCAATCAGGGGTTAATTGATAGATTGTCAATGATTCATATAGATTATTATTTCTGATTTATCTTTGATGTTGCCATTATTCTAATTGAAACAGTATAGTTTGTGGGGTGAGAAGAAGCCCTTTGGAATGAACGTACTGATGTTTTCTTCATTATATGAAGAAAAACACCAAAAAACCCCTTCACAACACCTCAGACACTACAGTATTGTGAACACTGAACCTTCCATAGAGCAATATCCTGCATACTTACCATTTGTATCATAAGAAATTTGCAGTGAGTATTATGTACATAATTCAGTGATGTGCACGTTTTTAA